ATTCTATGATTCTATGATTCATAGGCAGGCAGAAGGCAGAGAGCCAGTTTGAGGAGTGGGGGAACCGCTGTTAACTCTTGGTGGGGTCAGGTCTGCAGGCAGCCCCCAGCCCTGCTCGTGGCAAGGAAGGTGCTGCGCAGGTTTTGAGTTTGGAGGATGCGCGGAGAGCTGGAAGGAAGGGGAAGGGGCCTCTCTGTGGGGTGGAAGACCCAGCAGGGTGAAAAGGACAGTCAATGTTCCATGTCAACCGAATAACCTGTTGGGTGTGACACTTGGGTTGAACAGCTGCCTGCTGTCCAGGCTGCTTCCCACGGCCCACTCTGGAGAGGGCAGCCATAGTGGGTGAGTCCCTCCCATGTCTCCTGCCTCTCCCTGGCTCCTTGGAGAGCAGTGCCGCTCCGGGAGGCAGGAGGTTGTGGGGGTGAAGCCCATCTCTAGCTGTGAGGGGGGAGAGGTGCCCGATGGGGTGCAGCGGGGAGGGACAGGGCCTGGCCTGCTGTGGGAAAACACCTTGTGGGGGGCAACTGAGGGAAAAGTCAGGGGTGATGGTGAAGGAGCCTCCCTCTGTGGGGATTAGCAGCCATCTCCCTTCTCGCAGGGCTCTCCTCCCAGGAGAATAACGTGAAAGAGCATGGCACGAAAAGTCTGTGCAGCAGAGGCCGGAAAGTCCGCGGCTGTGAGGGCTGCGGTTAATGGAGTAGGTGCCTGCTCTCTGGGCAGCCCCAGACATCTGTCTCCATGCTTCACTTGTTTTTCTGCCACGTTTCTATTTGCTTGTCCAGAGTTAAAGCCCAGAGGGACCTACAGATGGTCACCATTAAATTTGTCACTTGATGCAGGTTTTTTTAAAAGCTCTTTTGTCAACCTTTTAAAAACAGATGTGTGTATTAAAAAAAAAAAAAAAATCTTTTAATAGAACAATTCACTAGAGATCTTCTATTTGGATTTAGATTTAATGTTAGTCTTTAGTGTCTGGGATTTGATTTTGGCATTTCTTTTAAGCCAAGTCTCTCTTGTAGCCATATCGGTTTTTTTGTATTTTTTTCTTTTTAAATAAACGTTAAAGAATCTCTTTGCATTCCTAGTCTGGCTTCTTTGGAACCTCAGAAATCATTGCGTGCCAAAACATTTTCTGTGTTTTGGATCACATACCTGGTTTTGCTTAGGTTTCTTCATGATTCCAGGATGCTAGTGTTGTGTGGGCTGAAACTGGGCTATTGGCTTTCAAAAATAAAATCTTCAGCAGAAAAGTCCATCCTTGTTAATGATTTCTGAAGGAAACCACAGGATCACAGACAAAACTCGGAAGCTGTGACTAGTAACTGCTTGCACAGACTCAGGAACCTAGATAATAGCTGATGATCAAATCACATTATATGGACTTTTGGACTGATAAAACAACCACAGACAGTGTATTTCAGTCTGCACATTCAACATGAAGTGCCCTTTCCAAAGATCTTTTAACATACGTCTTTTTGAGATTCTGGAAATTTTACCATAAGAAAAGCCAGTTTGGGTCTATATTATGGACTTGAAAAATGTTCTCAGAATACACTTAACACAATATTTTTTTTCTTTTGTTACTTCATTTGCAGGTCAAAATTTGTCTGGTTCATTCAAATTAGAATTGTTTTAACCATGCTGTAGAAGACAAATATGATGCCGAATAGAAGCAACCTCCCCTCCTTTCAGAACATTGGATCAGGTAATCAATTAATAAAAATGAATTTTGTTTGTAAATGTACCGAGCTCTTTCAGAACTTGTTATTGATTTTGGTCCTTCAATTCTCCTGACACATGGATAAGATCAGTGCTCTGTTCTTATTCCATGTCTAATTCCATTTGCCAGCCAAAATAAGGCCACAGCTGGATGCACTGCAGAGAACCAACCCTCCCCCATCAGTTTAATGCCTGGCTGGAATAGATATACCCCCAGCTAAACAACTA